TTAGTTAGACGCCCGTCTCGGGAGGTCCAGAATTCTGGCTGAGGTAATATTTGTCGCAATAAATAAGAAATATTCAAACACTGACATTCTGTCCCGGCTCTTTAGTCTTTATTCCTTCGAATTGGTGTTTGAGGGCCTTATGAATTTTACTTATTTGTTAAAACAGGTAACTTAATAAATATAACGGCGCGCGATAATTGTCATTTACATGAACAGGGATTATACAGGTGAAAGCATGCAGGGCTGCAATATCTACAGTTTTGCATAAATTTTAAATGTAAATACATCTCGTAAATTTTATTGTTTATTTCCATAAACGTGCATTCGAGATATTGCAGAAGTCTACGTTTTTATGGCACAGAACGATACTTATTCGCGCCGCAAGACCGCGATGCTCCCACCGTAAATACACCCGCGGGACGTATTTTAATTTTTCATAACAACGTCCGCATACATTCTCCACAATGTCGCGACATCGCCACCTGCCTCTCGACTTTTCCCGAGAATAGGTATCGTCGAAGGAGAGAAAATCCGCGCCCAGGAGCTCCATCGTCGCTCTTTAGCAGCGTCGCTTGCCAGATCCGCCTCGAGAGACACCCCGAGGGGGTAGAAACACGCTGCGATGGCTTACCGTAAATTACCGCTACTAAGATCTGGCCGACGTCCAAAATAAACGATATCCGATATAGTAGCACTCGTTTCCGCTCAGTTTGTGCAAATATTTAGCATGGCGCGAAAGGAAACATTGGAAATCGTCGTTCACGTGCCAAGCATATGAAATCCGAAAAGAGTCTCTCATATTTCTATTCTACTGCTGCCGTCTTACAATTAGAAAATGTACATTCACGTGGGAATGTAATTTCCGACGCGCTTACCCGAGTCGAAATTTTGGTGCTATTTTGACACTTTTAAGGATGATTTACACCTACTTAGCTGATCTATACGCCTACATAGATCAGCAATAACCTACTTTGATGACATTATATTTTTGTACCCCTCCCTTGAATCTTCAATTCTAAAACTTTACTTTAGTTTCTACTTAAAAGGACCTACTTTAATACTAAATTGGCAAAAGTAGAAATTTTCGACACTATCGGTTTTAAAGTAGGAGTAAATTTTGTACTTGCAGCTCGACCTCTTTTACTGTCTTAGGTCCTACTATATAATAGAGTTAAAGGTTCAACGTGAGGCCAAAATTTCAACTCGGGTATGTTATTTTTTTATTCGAAGCCATTCAAGCTCTCATCGAATCGAGTTCATATTATTATTTTCTCTCCAACTGTTGACTCTCTGATGAGCCGTTCCTAACAATTTCGCTTTAAAGAGAGTATCCGGCAGCGTGGGAAAACGCGTTTCTATAAATTTCAATCAACGTTTTGCACGCGAGCGCATGTCGCTCGTACCGAGACACCGCGCTACTAGCGTATAGCAGCGCGACGGATAAATTGTTTAATACCATGATGGACGATTCCAAAGCTGTCACAGGCAGGGGCCACAAATCCTTCCGTGATGTTGTACTTCCCCTTTTCAACCTGTACGACATTCTTCCCGTTCCCGTGTCCGACAAGGTACGATATCCTGCTGCAGTGTTTCAGGATTGATATCCACTAGAGACAGAGAGAAAATCGCGATATCGTTCTTTCATAAAACATATTACACAAGCGCATTATATAAACACAAAAATTGTATATATACTGGATTAATTTTATTACCAATCAACTTATTATTTTCCTTGAGGAAGAATCTTTATTATACAGTATGTATTTTACATGTTTTCTACGTAGAACAATGAAGGGGAAAGAATAATCTCTTCCTTTGTCTCTAGTGGACATGAATCCCAAAACATTACGACCGAATATGAATAACACCATACGCTGAACGTTTCTGACTTACTACTTTTTCGTATGCATGCTTCATACGAATTTTACGTGGAAATAATAATATATTATAATATTTATTATAATGTCGCAAGTAATCTCTTCAAACCGCGCAGTAAATGAACGGATTCTCCCTTACACACATTTGATTCAGTTTTCCACGATTTTGATTCAGCGACCCTTCGTTAAGCGGGAAGTCCGTCGTATTATCTGAACCAGCGCATAGAGTTCAATTTTCCCGAATTGTACAGAGACTTTCGTAACCCGGCGCGTACGTGACTTTCCCGTTGCTTGTTAGGAAATAAAAAGTTCGTACGGTAAATGCACCGACACGAGAGACCATTTGAGAATTTGAACGCGGCTGAAGCAAGAAGAGGTATGAGAAAAATGAAAGAAACAAAGATAGACGTCGAAGGGAAGCGGGGAAAAAGAAGAGAGGAGCGAGGGCGAAGCGCTGCGCACTTTTGCAGTAACAAGAGAGAGAGAGAGAGCTGCGGGAATAAATAAATAAATATTAATAAATAAAAGTCACTTCAACATCGCTGTATACTGGAGACGATAACGTTGGCTGTTAATGCCTGCGCGTTTTTGAGGAAACATCCTCCGCAATTAGTTCAAGTATTCGCAGATGAAAGGAAGATGAAGGGCGACGAACCCGAAATAGCACCGCGCAGAACTAAACCAACCATAGCGCCACTTTAAGAGCACGATAAACATGGCGCGCACTACCTGGTTTGTCATCTCACGAGCGAAATAACATCGCATACTTCGGACGTAGCACAATGCGACCGTCCGCATTTGCTGCGCAACGTCTCCTCGCTACCTGCATTCATAATTAGTTAAGTTTATCTTCTCCCCTTCAGCTCCCTTTTAGCTACCAGAATTCAGCGGAGGTAGGGCCCCGGGGGTTAAGGCCTCGTTGTCCGTAATATCTCGTCTCCCCGACTACCAGGCGATCCTCCGCCTTCCTCTCGCCGATTACCCGCGCGCGATCATTAATTTAATAGCGCTGCAGCGAGATTCCAATATCGGTCGGAGGGCCTCTAATCGACCTGGAGATATTTGCACCGCCGTCCTCCGCCGGCGTTGGAATTCCGGCATAACATCAGGCGTGCCGACGCAGTTTAGATTATGACGCCGAATATGTCAAAATTGAATTAGTGACGCCCCACGTCCACCATCGAGATACGTGTCCATCTTATACGGCAGAGAGACCAATAAATATCACCTGATACGCGATATCGCTCGTTGAAACCGGCATGCAATCAGCCATACACATTCGCCCGTGAATGCGATTCACTCCGATACAGGAAAATACAATGCGAGTAATGTTGGAGTGCCTATAGAATTTCCTAAAGACGAGAGGAGAGTCTATGTAGAAAGAAAATCTTTAGTTTATTAATTAATTAATTACTGCAATACTTTTTTGAAACGCGTATTTTATCGATACCTGAAGAGATACCTGGGAAAAAATGGAAATATCTCATTATGTCTGAATTATGTAATATCTAATTATATCCAATTCTAATATCATCAGATCTTCAGAGATCTGACACTTCTATTGAATATTCAATGTTACTACCTATTGAGATCTAATTACGTTCTCTTAGGACATTTAATTGTAGATTTAGTTAGATCTCAATAGACAACCTCGAACATTCAAAGAAAGTATCCTGAGGATCTAATGATTTTTAGAATTAGACCTCATGAGATCTTATTAGATTACATGATTGAGACATATATACACAGTTGACAAATTTGTGTTAAATTTAACAGATATCACATGTCCCAAACGGTCCACACAAATTTTTGTGTTAATTTAACAACATGGATATGCTAAATGATCACACTAATACTTTGTTAATATTTTAACACAAAATAAATGCAAATCTCAAAACTAAAAAAGAGATGTTACCAGCGCGAATGTCGTTAATATCG